GCCCTGAGCCCGGACGCTTGTGGGACCACCGACAACACTCCCCCCGCCCCCCGGCGTCCCCTCCAAGCCCCTTTCTGCAAATGGCTTTCAGGGGCGAAGGGGAAGTGTCAGCGCGGTTGTCAGTCGCTCGCCTCTGCCCCTTCCGGAGACTCGGTGGGCTGAATCCGAGTGGCGCCTGGGGCCAGGTCGTCTCTCACCCGAAGTGACCGTGTGGCTCTGGCTGCTGGGAGGCCAGGCGCGACTCCGTGGAGTTGAGTGCTTAGAGTGCGGGGACCGGGCGGCATCCTCAGGTGCAATGCCTTCAAGGGAAAAGTGCGTCCGTGGACCTTGGGAATGCTTGTTTATGTTGCCCAACGTGAGCTGCCCCACGGAATAGGCTGCATTTACTCAGGGCCAAAGTCAAACTCGGCAGCACAAACAGAAAAATTACCCCGATGCTGACTACTTGCATTGCGTTTTGAAATAACACGCATTTAAAAAAAAAAAAAAAAAGCTATTTTGAAGAAAGGGTGGGGTGGAGATGCCAGCAGTGAGAGAAGCAATATTCCCCAACGCTCTTGGGGGTTTATGATGATATCAATGCAATAGTGGGCAGATTTACAAGGTGTTTTTAATTGCTTTTCTCTGCTGCGTGCTTTGAACTGCCTACGGAAAATAATGGAGCTGCCTGCTAGAGAAGGGATGCCGTTACCGCTAGCTGTGTGTCGCCCTGTGGGATTTTACATAGCACTTCCCACTTGATGCTCCTTGCCCTCAATACTATTCATCTTATTACTACAGTCAGTTTCTGCAGGCTGCCAAGATAATAGCACCCTTTCAAACACATGCACTCATTCTAAGCAGTCTTTTTTTTTAATGCGAATTCCCTTTGTTAAATATTCCAGTGTTGTTGGTGAGATTTGGTGCAGGACTGGATTCCTTCTTAAAATTGTGTAAAGGATTTGATGCTGGACCTTGTAGATAAAGGCTTTGAGTGTTAACAATTGGTTGTAACCTTAACGCTGGAAACTTTGGACACAGTGGAGGATAGGGAAGTAGTGTCATGATGGCTAGGTTTTCTGCCCTTTAAAATACCGTGGTGGTGTCTTTGTTTCTAATTGGAATTTCAGTGGAATACACCATTTGCTATCACTTCAGGTACATAGAAAGGATAAACTGTGCAGCCAGATGTCCAAATTACAAAGCGGACATGCTAATAAAACATACTGTGAAATTTCTGTGTATGACAGTTTGTGCAGTTGCCTTACTTTCCTACACATAGTTTATTCTCTGCACAATTACATATGTGTCCCTCAGTGATTTTTCAAGCTCGGTTTTATAGGAAAGTTTTATTGATGTAAATGGCTCTAAATGACTAAATGAATTTCACTGTAAGCTCACAGTAATTATATTACATAACATATTCTTTTCAAAATAAAAGGATATAAGGTATTTTTGTATTTGTGAGTATAAAAAATCTGACCCATGATCTATTTATGTTATGATGAGGAATATGTACTTATTTCTCCCTTCTTGGACATCTTCCAGTAGAGTTTAAAAGCAAAATCACCTAGAGTCTTTGTTTGTATATGCCTTGAAACATAATATAAATGAATTTCTAATAAAAGCCTTTTTTGGAATACACATTGAAAGAAAGAAAACGATACAAAAACTCAATTTTTAAAGTTATTAAAGGATTATGAAATTGAGTTTGCAGTAACTGTCGCTCACAATTTCAAAAATAAAAATTGTGTGTTTTCAGTAAGAGGAAGAAAATTGAAGTCATTGCCATACATAGAGTGTATAGCTTCCAGAAATCCAGTTGCATTTTTAGCCTGTCAAAAACTCACATTGAAATTGGTATTAAACACAAGGAAGAGCTACAGAATTATCAGAAATCAACACCCAAAGAAAATTAGTCCAGCCATCCACTAAAATAAAGCTAGAAAATAATATAAAAAACCAGGCGGGTTGGTGTGACTGGTCAGAGAAATATTTTAAATGAAGATGGATTTATTATTTTAAAATTTATGTAAGCATTAATTTTGGAAATCCTTTATTTGTTACGTTGGTTTGGAGAAAATATATTTTAAAACCGAGTTTGCTTTGTAAATGAGATCCTGAAAAGCAGCCGAAGGCATTTTCCTCCAAATAATGTGATAATTTCAGAATTACAGATTCTGAACGGATATAAATTAGAATAATATTTTTGTACTAATTCAGTTTTCCTCACAATGAAAAGTATTTTTCTGCCTTAGAAATCAGTGTAGTTAGCTTCTGGTTGTTCTGTGTTTTTAGAACTTATATATTGAATAATTCATGAAAAAAAATGCCTTAGGTTAAAATATTCTCATGTTTCATGTTGGTGGAAGAGGTATAATAAAAGTACCATATTCAAATTTGAATGATAAATTCTATTTCTCATTGCTGAGGCTTTTGGTTCCTCATAGAATCACATCTACTCACATATGAATGAATTATTTTCAAAAATATTCTTCCATTTTATTATTTCAATGTTTTGGACATTTTTTACATAACAATGTATTGAGCAATATCATTTATAGCAGAAATGGTTAATTCTATATATTTTTGGTAATGTTTTAATAGATGCAACCAAGGTTGTGAATAATTAAAAGACTTTCCTTAATTTTTTTTTTTCTTTCAGTTTGAACATGATTGTGACTGCCCTTGAGATTTTTAATAAAATCCCAAGGCTCCATTGTGAGGACTTGACTCAAGTGTACCTGGGAATCTACCTAATTTCCATATCCCAACTCTTGGCTTAGTTGCTTAATGTAACACTTTTCATGCTGAGTTTAGATGTTTTCTCAGCTTTTGCAGCACTAGGTTAAACAGAATTATCCTTTCAAAGCCTTCCCTGCTGAGATGTAGAAGAGAAGTAAATAGAAGAATGTGAGATGTCCACAAAGCAAGTAATTAAACAAAGTAGGCCAAACAGACTATAGAGGGAGCTGCTTGTCTTTGAAATTACTGTAAGGAAATCTGCCAATCCTTTCTCTTCATCTTCTTTCAGCTCAGTGAATATTGTTTTAGACGCTTCTAGGTGCTGTTAAACATGGAATTACATTTTCCACATAAATCGATAATTCCAAAAGTGTGCGTATATATATTTACTTGAGTCATCAAGGTGTATATTTTAGTATTTTATATTTTATAATGTTAATTCCAATAAATTAGCAAAGTAACTTTTAGTAAATTGGTGGATTATTAGGTTAGAAATGAGTATAGCTTTGGATAGCATACATCAACAACTGAGATGACACAAAAAATTAGTGAAAATCTTGTTGCTCAGTCTTTTTGTTAAAGCATTTCAAAATATTTTAAGATCACGTAATTATTGATTATTAGAGAAAGATTTTCAGGAGCATTACTAAGATTTTGTGACTCATCATAAACAAAATTAATGACTGCTTATTAAGTATTAGAAACCTCTAGTGGCAGATTTTGTTCTTTCTATATTTGTTTAAAATCACACTTAGGAAATCAAAGTCTTAAGCAAGAGTTTTCTGAAATCTCTGGGTGAATTGGGCCCTAGTAATAGGGTATGCAGTTAATTCAGTGAATACATAGTGAGAACCTACTGTGTATTATTTTTTGGGTGTTGTCATTAAGAATACATTTTACCATCCAGAACCTCAGAATGCAGTATGGGTGATAGGCATATAAATATGTCAAGTGTGGTATGACTGGACTATAGGAGAAATGAGTATAAGGCATTGGGAGGATTCAAAGGAAGACATTTAATGACCACCTGGTGGGCATAGGGAGTTAAGGAAGGCTTAGTGAAGGAAGTATGGATCCGATCATCTTAAAGATATTTTTAAATAATTTTAAAACCATGAAAAAATTCACAAATGAAGAAACTGCTCTCTGAAGGGCAGCTTGGAAATACATATCAGAATCTGTGAAATGTGCTTTTTTGATCCAGTAATTTCAGTTCTAGAGAATTACTCTCAATATAAATCATTT